AATATTAATAGATAGATGCTACTTTATATAGCCTTAGATAAAGGCTATTTTAAAGTTATTAAGGTTCTTTTTAAAAAGAGAGTAGATATCTTAATAGCTAATAATAATAGATAGATACTATTTTATATAGCTTTAAGTAATAGCTATCTTAAAGTTATTAAAGCCCTTTTTAAAAAAGGAGTAAATATATTAGTAGCTAATAATAATAAATAGACACCACTTTTTAAAGCCTTAAGTAATAGCTATCTTAAAGTTATTAAAGCCTTTCTTAAAAAAGATATAAATATATTAGTAGCTAATAGCAATAGATAGATACTACTTAATATAGCTTTAGGTAATAGCTATCTTAAAGTTATTAAGGTCCTTTTTAAAAAGGGAGCAGATATCTTAGTAGCTAATAATAATAGATATATACTACTCCTTAGAGCCTTAGGCAATAGCTATCTTAAAGTCATTAAGATCCTTCTTAAAAAGGGAGCAGATATCTCAATAGCTAATAATAATAGATAGACACTACTAAACACAGCCTCAAGTAATAGCTATCTTAAAGTTATTAAAGCCCTTTTCAAAAAGGGAGCAAATATCTCAATCTCAGTAGCTAATAACAACAGATATACACCACTCCTCAGAGCCTCAAGTAAAGGCCATCTCGAAATCATTAAGATCCTTTTCGAAAAGGGAGCAGATATCTCAGTAGCTAATACTAACAGATAGACACCACTCCTCAGAGCCTCAAACAGTAGCCATCTTGAAGTTATCAAGCTACTTACTAGCCATATTAATCCAGATTATATACACCCTCTATACAGTTAAACAGCTCTTTTATATACTACTAAGGGCGGTTATAAACTAGTTATATAGTCCCTACTTACTAATAACTACATCACTCCCTATTTACTAGATTATATAAACTAAACTCCTTTATTCTTTATATCTAAGAGGAGATATAATATAATTATCTAAGCTCTACTGTGTTAAAACTCTACTACTTTAGATTAGAAGGATTATTATAGCTTAACCCTTCTATCTATAGCTACTCAAAAAAGCTATATTAACGTTATAAAGTCTCTACTAGCTATAGAAGCTATTAGTATTAACTCTTAGGATTAGTTTAGCTAAACTCCCTTATAGTAGGTAAGAAGATATAGATATAATAAAATCGTAAGGCTCCTACTTAAAAGCAGAAAGAAGCAAGATATATCGCTAGATATAGATTAAATAGTTCTAGAGATCAACATAAGATCTCATAATACTTCAACTAGACACTATAATATCTATCTTTTTAGCATCTCAAAGGACTACAGCTATTTTCATTATTTAGTTTGCAACAACAGGGATTTTAATATTTGCTGAGATTGCTTTGACTATAGCAGCTATTATCTTAGGGAATTATATATACTAGTACTGAAGGAAAGCAAGGGATAGCTGAAGAGTAGGGTGTATATATAGATAGTTGTAGGCTTACTTAATTATGCTATTTATAAAACTTACAATAAAAGTAAGCTACTAAAACTTAATAATATCCTTAGATATAATTATTTTACTATGCTTATAGAGTGCACAAGCTAGGCGCTAATAATAGCGACGTCAAATTCAAAGCATATCTCCAGACAATATTACACCTAATGCCATCATGCGAGCAGCTCCTTATACCATCAACAAATTCTCACGTTTACCTGCTTACTAAGAGGGCGAGGTTCATTACGCTAGCTGGTGTAAAATTAAGCTTGCTCCGCATCCTAAATCTTGCTGAGGTTGACATGCAGGTAGTGCCTGCACAAAGAGATTTACAATTTCAAGTCTCTCTACAACCTATTAATATGTATTCCACATCTAATTAGTAGGCTGTAGGCTGCCTATCAGTTAAGCTGCAGAAGTTAACAGGGCGCTCCAAGGCGCGTTAGTATGCTGGTGCCCCTTGAAGAGACTGTTCAGAAGTTCCATGGGGTACTTGTACGTCTCCTTCCGCCAGGCTGCCTTCCTCTGAGAGATTTGCTCCGACTTTGAGGGCGTCTGCGTCGTCGTCGTGTACCTGGAGTTCATGTTATTCCTTCGCGCCTTCGAGAACAATTACATCGGCGCAGTCGTCATGGACGCATCGTGGACGGCGTATCGAAACACTTTCAGCCCTTTTTAATTGTAAACTCTCATACCAGCGTCCTATTGAGCTGGGTAGAACTGCACTCTGATCAGGCCTCAGCGCTGCCGGATGTCCTGGGGCCTGTTGATAGTGCAACCAGCCGATCCTTCAGCGTGTCCGCAGATTCAACCTGCAGGGCGAGCGCACCCTCAGCGTTATTATAAAGCCCAACTAGTTGCCGAAAGGCTCTAGCTCCAACTCTAAGTTTCTCCAGCTTGCGCGCAATGAAGACGTCTTCTTCAAGCTTGGATAGCATGTCATCAGGAATCGCCATTTCAACGAGAATAGTTTTTCATTCGAGGAACGCAACGCAGCTGAGGTATAGTTTTTCTACATATCAAACTTCAGCATCTTGTCGCAAGAGATAGTTAGCATCAAAGCGCTGCGGGCAAAGTTGAGCCACCTCTTGTTCGAGCATATCAAGGCAGAACTCCTACAGCTTAGTGAGGATCTTAAGTAGGTTCTCCAGATAGACAGGCACAAATTAAATCTATTAGGCGATATCCAGTCCACCCCTGCAGCATACTGTATATACCTAGCACAACTCAGCATAGAATGTCAGGAAATCTGCAAAGCAAGTCTCAATAGGAACTACAAGCATAGATACTCCAAGATAGGCGCTAAGGAGACGTTCTCACTAGAGAACAAGAGCACCATAGCCCAACTACAAGCTGCTATTCAGTACAGTAACAGCAAGTTCGCCAAAGATCTCCAAAAAAGGGGCCACAAATACTTCTTCTCGTCTGTAGCAGAGAAAGGGCCAGCTGGGAAGGAGAACATCAACGAGAATCACACAGCAACATCAGCTTCGCCAAAGCCCCTTTCCAAGAAAAAGTCAGTAGCGTAGATTCAGAAGATGATTCTCCGTTCGAAGGGTACCAAGCTTATTAGCAACTTCAATCCGCATCTCATCGGCAAGCTGTTCTGAGAGCAGTCTCAGCCTTAGGAGAATCTGACCAGTAGCCACATCGAGAAAGTCATCCAATTATGCAAGAATTTCCTCACAAATCTGCTAAAACAGAAGGCCCCAAAAGAGGTACAGGCTCGCATCTAGTAAGTAACTTTGCTACAAAGAGGTAGCAGACCTTTAAGTTCTAACCCCATTTAGTAGAATATAGGGCATCCATAATCCAGGACATGCTGAAACAGCAGAAGCAGGCAGCATATGATAAGCTAGTTAGTCGTCATATTCATCGTCAGCCGAGAAAGATGCATCAGAATCATAAGCGACCGCCAGGGTGCGTCAGCGATTTAACATTATGGAACGAGGAACAGCACAAGTTCAACAGAAGGCTTGCTAGCAGAAGGACTAGCCAAACAAATAGTAATAGTCAGGCTTTAAGAGCAGATAGATTGAAGGGACCGCTAGCTGAAGCCCTAACTGCAGCGACCGCAGTTTATATAGTACGAGAAGGTAAGCCATTGCAGGACTCATTATGGTGGCTATTTTTGGCTGTTAGAAAGCGACGCGCCAAGCAAGAATTAGAACGTCAGTTGAGTGAAGAGTGACTAGTAGGGCTATTTGGGCAGTTCTGGGAGGTGTGGCTGAGGAACTTTAGTCAGTACTTTAGTCAGTACCCTGAGGTACAAGCCTGGGACGGGACAGGGGTTGGCGCGCTTGGTGGCCTTGCCGCCTGGGTTAAAGCAGCGAGGGTTTTGTGGCAGATGTCCTGCTGAACTTAGCAGCAGAACCTGCCTGAAACAGCGCCAAATACGCCGTCTCTTGCTTTAAAGAAGTAATAAAGTTATTTTTTATTTTAAATAAATAAATAGATAGTTTTAATACTATTAGTCTATATAAGCTTCTTATTATTATTAATACAATATTTATAAATATCTAATAAATAGGTTTTAAAATAATTTAAAAATAATATAATTCATAAATAGTTAGAAAAATTACTTATAAAGTTAGTAATATAAATTTAATATACTTAAAAGTATTATAAAAAGTCTTATAATCTTAAATAGAGCTTTTAATAAACTTATTAATAAAAATATTAATAATATATTTAAAAACTTTGGAAATATATCTCTTAAATATTTATATAAATATAAAAAGATTACTATTATTTTTCTATTTTGTATTAAGTAATTTATTAACAACAATATTATATAAATTAATAAGTAATAAAAAAAGTAGTCTTACACTTTTTTAGCTTATATTGTTTTAATAATAACATTATTATTAAGCTTAAAAATATCTTTATTAATATACTTTTTAATTTAGTTTAATTGTAACATAATATTAATAAAAACTGACTATAATTACTAATTAGATTCACTTTTTAGCTAGAGAATATTAAATAAAAAAGTTTTAATTTTTTATTTATATTATTAGTTATTTAGAGAAATATAAATAAATAATCAAAAAATAAAAGAGAGAAAATACTATTAATTAATATATTAAAAAGAGATATAAAAAATAAAAACATTTTGCTATTTAGTATATTAATAAATAAAATAAACTTCTATATAAATAGTAATAATCTAATATATTAAGAATAAGTAAAAACTAGATTACTATTTATTTATTAAAATAAACTATATAAATATATAAATAACTACAAAAATAAAAATAAAACTCATAAAAATATTATAAAATAGAGAAATATTTAATTTAAAACTATAAATACTAGTAATCTAAATACTAAGCCTATAACCTATAGAGGTATAAGCGTAATAAGTAGTAAGGAGTTTGATACATATAATAAGAACTAGCTAAATAGGCTGCCCAGCTAGGAGGCTAGATGAAGGCCCTGGCGGGCCCTAGGCCGCACAGGCCACCTGGGGCACCTGTGGGCAGGTGCCGCCACAGCTTTTCCTCGGCGTCAAATATCGGCTTCGTGCGTTTACGACCGTCATGGTCATTGGTTGTCTGCTCGAAGCGCTGGGATACATCGGCCGGCTGATGATGAGCAAGAACCCCTGGAGCGGCGTCGGCTTCCGTTTGCAAGTCATCTGTCTCATTCTCGCCCCATCGTTCCTAGCCGCGGGAATCTACCTCACGCTTAAGCACCTCGTCCTCTACATCGGTCCGGAGAATTCCCGACTTGCCCCGAAATGGTATACTTGGATTTTCATCAGCTGCGACGCAATCAGCTTTCTCATGCAGGCGGCCGGCGGTGCGGCTGTGTCCTCTAGCGACGGAGGAAGCGCGGCCGAGACGGGAAACAACGTCATAATTGCTGGAATCGCGGTTCAGGTTTTCACGATGGGTATCTGCGGCTTACTTGCTGTGGACTTTGCCTGGCGGACGTTTAGGAACAGGAGCCGTGGGTCAAGTGATTCAAGTGCGTGGAACCAGCCAGCGCAGCCTAGTTGGATGTTCCGCTTCTATCTGTCTGCTTCCGCGGCAGCGTTTATCGCCATTTTCATCAGATGCATCTACCGGTAAGACCCGTTTGAGGACATACGGCTAAAGATTATTACAAATTGTGTGCCATGTAGTCTCCCGGAAATGGCTGGCGGTTGGGGCAATCCATTGATGCGGAAAGAAGAGGAGTTTATTGTCCTCGATGGCATGTAAGCTTCGTAGTACTGCTGTCTTTGAGTCAATTTTGACGCTGACCTCAAACTTTAGGATGATTGTAATTGCGTGTCTTCTAATGTCAATTGCGCATCCCGGAATCTTCTTCCCTGCTATCAGCTCTCGTGGAGGAGAGGCCTCGAAGACCCAGGCCAAAAGCACTCAGCCGGTTGACTCCGAATATCCCATGGGAGGTATACCCGCAGCCTGATTATCAACCCCGTGTATACGCACCCCTGCATAAACATTCTCTGTCAACACGGGCTCCAGTACCGGTAATGGGAGTTGTGGTTGGCTGCGCCGAGGCCTTGGTCAATGCGTCCGGCATCTGCTTCATGTTGGTTTTTGATAGATTACACTATGGATTGCTCCGACAAAATATGGGATATTGGATGAGAGTTTCGGCTTACAATGCTGTTAGTTATGATTGGTTTAGAGACTATAGAAGCCAAATAGATTGAGGGCAGACACTACTTACACTTACTCACCCAGCAATCGGGCTTTCAATCTGTCCGAGTAAGTCAACCAAGCGAATTTTCGCCCGTGCGGGGAGAGATTGACGAACCATAGCCCGAAAGCCAGGACTCCCGACCGTAAAATCACGAACGCTACCCAAGCAATCTTCCGGACCAGCCGGATGGAAGATTTGCAGTCTTCTATGATAGAGGCAATTCAGCAACATCCAAAAATTTGGGTGCTTGATGCTTGATTCTCAGATCTAGGCGCAGAAGAGGTTACGAAAGCTGCAAGTCACCATCCCGCTAGGTAAGACATCAGCCCGTCAGCGCTACACAGTCAGTGGCTTAGCTGCTGACGCCGCGCCGCCAACATCAAGCACCGCACATAAATCTAGGCGTCGTCCTACTCTCTCGTACTCTCTCGTACACCTTTCCTCATTCAAACTTACAACGCTCTATTTGTCGAAAATTCGAAGCTCGTCCTGCAGTTATGCCGAGTCGACGTCCACACGCGAAGTCGCGTTTAGGCTGTGCTCAATGCAAAGCTCGTCGCGTCAAGGCAAGGACATTGAAAAATTCACCGTCTGACCGTTGACTGACACAGAGCCTAGTGCGACGAGACGTACCCAAAATGCAGAAATTGCCAGCGGTTTGGGAAGAGCTGCTCATATGCATGGGCAGACCCGTACTCCAAAGCGGCGAATATTGCAGATGTTTCTTCGCCGATTAGCAGTCCCGAAAATTGCGCCATGGGAAAGGACATTCCATCGATGGTCCAACTCACGTTCGACGCGCTGGACATGAAGTTGATGCACCAGTTCTCCACATCAACAGCGAGATCTTTGTCCTTGATCCCGGACGCACAGCATATCTGGCAACACTCGATACCGAATCTGGCCTATGATCAACCTTTGTTGATGCATGGTATTCTTGCCCTGGCCGGGACTCATCTCGCAAACTCCACATGCAGCGTTGAGGATATGCCGCGGAGCCAAGTCTACGTACGAGCTCTCCATCATCAGCAACTTGGGCTACAACTGTTCCGCCATCAGCTACAGTACCTTGAAGATACCACTGCCGGGCATGAACCTCTGGTCATGTTTTCTGCCATCATATGCATCTTGACTTTTGCTCAGCTGCAAACTACTAGAGAAAATTTCAAACTTACCAACGTCCTTGAAATATTTGCCGCTTTGCGAGGAAAGCGGGCTCTGTGGGCATCAGTAGGGAAAGCGCCTCATAGCCAAAAGTTGGCAAAGCTTTTGTACGAACCACGAGATTCCGAGACTCCAGGATTCGTATCCGAACTGTTAGCACTGGCCGGTCTTCAAACTGCAGCCAAGAATCCCGTGCTGAAAGACGCTATCATTCAATTACGACCGTCCTTAGTTAGGCAAGCCCCCGAGTTTCGGCTCGTTGGAGGCTGGCCTACAAGTGTCTCTGACGACTTTATCACCCTCATACAGATAGGGGATTCGATGGCACTACAAATCTTGCAGAGCTACTGTGCTATTTTGTCATCTCTTCGGGATCTATGGTGGGTCGGGGATTGCGGAGAGAAATTTCGTAGAGCGACTGGACTATTAAACTGAAATGAGCTAATTGGCTTTCAAAGTACTCATTCCCAACCCCCCAAGGTCATGTACTTGCATTACTATAATGTCTCTCATCTAGTATCTACGTATGCTTTCAAAGTCGACTCCAAGTCCATGGCAGCTTACCACCTCCTGCAGCATTACGGCTTCGCCAACCCGACAAGTCAGAAAGATCTCGAAGAGGCCAAGGGTGGGGATCTTGTGTACCCTCAGGAACTCGGCCATTCTTCCAAGACCATAACTCCTTGTAATCCTCACTCAGTTTGCCCTCCAACATATCAATAACATACTTGCCAATGATTGGCAAGAACTTGAAACCGTGGTTAGAGCCGACTGTTGCGACGAAGAGGTTTTTTGTGTTGGGGTACGGGCAAACTCTGAAGTTCAAGTCCGACGCAATTCCATCCCTGTTCTCAGTGTCAGCCATTGAACCTGTCATCTCCTTGCATGCATCAAGACGATCTTTCGACTTACCAGCAAAGTTTGGTGGAAACGAATGACCGATCCGCTAGCTCTGGAATCATCTCACGAACGAAGGTCCGCATCTCGTCTTCAATCTCCTTGGGACACCCGTCATCTGGGTAGTCACCAAGAGAATGCGTCACTGAAGCTCCCGCGACATACCGGTTCCGATAGTTTGTGAGTAAGCGAACACTGCAGAGCTTGATAAACCCGTTTTCATCTGGTGGGAAGATGATGCCTAGCGTATGTCAGGATTGGATCTCAAGTCGCCTCCGATGGAGGGAATGTTAACTGACCTTGTTCAAAGTCGTCGATGATGGGGATGTCCTTGTACTTCTCAACTTCATGTGGCTCCAGCTTCATCACACAGATGACAGATGTTTGTGCCACAACCTCCTTCTTCGCATCCACTAGCGTCGCCGTGTTGGCACCAGTTGCGAGCACGACAATGTCAGCCGTGTAAATGGTTCCATCTGCAGCGATAGCGCCTTTGCAAGTTCCGTCGCTGTCATACAACAGCTTCTTGACGTATCCGGCCTCTCCGCTAATGTACTTGACACCTTGGGCTTTCGCAGCGTTGGCCATTCTCAGGAGCGCCTGACCGGATGGCACCTAGAGCAAGTCCGGCGTCAGTTCACAACACAACATTCAGTGATATGAATCATCATTGATAAGCAACTCACCCAACCAGCTACAGGACTCCAGAGATTCGTCCAGTCCGGGAAGTCGCCCGTCAGGACGGGCCACCTCTGCTTCATCTCTTCCGTCGACATGAACTTGACACCTTCACGGCCGGCCTTCTTCGCGGTTTCAACGGCGCTGTGGAGCCATCCCCGGGTCATGCTGTGCCCGCTCATGATCCACCCCGTCTCGCGGTACATGCCTGCGAAGATGGAGCTGGGATTTGTCCACTCCCGCATGGTCTCGTCGCCGAGCTTGGCATACAGCGGGTTCGGGTAGTCGGCGCGGACGACTTTGTTCAAGTCGGTCGCTGCTGAATCTTTGGAGGGCGCATCGAATCGATCGAGGACTGTGACTGAGCTGTATCCACGTAGGGACATGTGGTATGCCGTGGATGTCCCGAAGACACCGCCTCCCACGATGAGAACAGATGGTTTAGACATTGTGGTTGAATTGGATTGTGATGTTTCTCGCTGCAATGCTGCTGGTGTAAAGTCGGTTCTTGGGGCTTGGTTGATTCAACGCTATTCTCGCGGCATTTCCACGCGGTCAACTATAAATGGCTACGTAACACCGAATTGCATTCGGCTCACAAAGCAAACTCGACCGATCATGAAGCCGACGCAATCTTCGGCGAGCGCATCGGCTCAAGCACACCGCAAAGTGCATTGTGTAGTACCCAACTTTCCCCGCGTTTGCGGACGTCAATCGATCCACAATAAAGAGCAATTCAAAGTAAGACGGCCAACAATACCACGCATGTTTGTACCCTCCAAGTCCGACGTCGATTAGCGGCAGACTAAACAAATGCGTCACCTTGCCGCGGAAGACCCCTGGTCCAAGAGATACTGCACAATGCCCATCAACCAACAAGGATTCCACAAGCGGTCATCACGGAGGCGGGCACCAACTCCGCAAATGCCCAGGCTCCAAGAAATTTCAATCGGCATCAGTCCGCCGATGTCGAAAGCGAGCCTGGCTGCACAAAAAGATAAAAGGAGCCATCGTCAGACCCGCCCTCCAGTTCGGTTCCTCGTGCTCTAGCGGCCGACTGATAAGTGCCCGCATCCTTACGGCCTTCAATTTCCATTACTACCACCACCACGCAATCCCGTGAACCCACCAGACCCGCCGGCAATCCGTGCATTAACAGCCGATACCTACGAAGACTGAGAGTGTGTTGACGTTCGGGCGGAGAACGTTGCATTTGGGGCATTTCATCCGCTGGCCTCTTCCTTGTCGGCACCTATCTCGTAAGAGATAGCGTTATCGCCGATTGGAAGGACCTTTCCGGCTTGGACCTGCCCATCGCTGAGGTATCTCGCACAGGGCGATACCTCTAGGCTGGGCAACATTGAGGGATTGGGGGTTTTGAGGAATTGAGCTGCTGATCAAAATCGGCCAGTAGGTGCTTATTGCCGTCTACACCTTCGTGCTTGTTAAGACCAGTTATTTAACAGCGTCCTGGGACCAGACTTGGTGTTCCTTAACCGGCAACTTTTGGGCACGACGACGTTATTGCCGTCCAACGCAAACTTCAACATGGCGACCGATATGAAGACTGATAACGAAGACCCAGTCAAGGTTGACTCCCAGAAAAAGAAGTACGACACCACCGACGAGAGCAGAGCCAGTTTTGAAGGACAAACCACGGAATGGCCAGCGAGACCATTGCCGGAGCTTCTAAGGGACTTGTCGGAGGATGAATTGAAGGACCTTGAAAAGAAGTTGATTCGAAAAGTCGATATGCGAATGTTGCCAACGATGATCTTGATTTACATCATGAACTATCTGGACAGGTTGGTCTCATCGTTTCAAAACCTACCTAGATTACAGACTAAGCGATGAGCTAGGAACGCCATTGGATCAGCGAGACTAGGCGGTTTAGAAAAGGATCTGGGGTTAACGGGCAGTGAGTTCCAAGTAAGCAAACCTCGAGATATGCGCCGTTTCGATGCGAGAAATAGCTGACGATTTGGCACCCAGACCTGCGTATCGATCCTCTTTGTCGGATACATCTTAATGCAAGTACCATCCAACATGTTTCTGAACAAGGTAAGACTGAAAACCCAACGCCGGACGATTGAATAATGAACTGATGAAGATTTGTAACAGATCGGTCGCCCTGCTATCTACTTGACAGGATGCATGGTAGTCTGGGTAAGCATGACGTTCCCTGATTCCATTCCCAATCAATTAAGCGATCTACCACTTCCCGCTGCCCATCATCGCACTGCTGCATTGCATGAGTGTAACGTGACTGGGGATGCCACAACCGGATCTCGGACTGTGTAACCACACATCACGGAACAGTGTTTTGGCTGACATGAATTGCCAGGGAGTACTGTGTGCCTGCAGCGGCGCAGCGCATAGCTTCGGCGGTCTCTTGGCGACTCGCTTTCTGCTTGGTTTCGTGGAAGCAGCATTCTATCCAGGTTTGCAGCATGCAATAGTTCGCACATTGAAGAAATGCATCACTAATAAAACGCTCAAATAGGATGTCTTGCTACCCTGAGTGCATGGTACATCCGCAAGGAACTCGGCGTTCGAACAGGCCTCTTTTACAGCGGTTCAATGCTTTCCGGAGCCTTCTCAGGCCTCATCGCTGCAGGAATAACGAACGGCATGGACGGTCTCGGCGGCCTACTCGCGTGGCGCTGGCTCTTCATTATCGAGGGCTCTCTTACGGTCCTCATAGCCTGCGGCGCTTTCTTCATCCTCCCCGACTTCCCGGCGAACACGAAATGGCTCACGGAGCAAGAACGCCAGACGGCCATGTGGCGCATGGAGGTCGACGCCGCGGGCGAGGAGGACTGGACCTCGTCGTCCGAGCAGCCCATATTTGCCGGGTTCAAGATGATCATGGTCGACCCCATCAACTGGATCCTCGTCGTACTGGTGTACGGTGCGGCGAGCTCCATTTCGATCAACAGCTTCTTCCCCACCGTCGTGGGAAGCCTCGGCAAGGACCGCATCACGACGCTGCTCCTGACGTCGCCGCCGTATCTGCTCGCGTGCGTCGCATGTGCGGCGGTGTCATGGAACGCGGACCGCACGAACGAGCGGTTCTGGCATACCGTCGCGCCGTTGGCCTGCTCGCTGCTGGGGTTCATTATCTCCAGCGCCGCGACGGGGATCGGCCCGCGGTACTTTGGCGCCATGATCATGCTGCCCGGCATCTACACGGGCTTCAATATGTCGATGGTATGGACGGCAAACACGATGTATCGGCCCGCTGCCAAGCGTGCGGCCGCTGTCGCGTTTAACAATGCGTTCTCCACGCTGGCAGGTATTTACGGCTCGTACTTGTATCCAAACAATGCCGCCCCGCGGTTCGTGCTGGCTTTCAGTGTGAACGCTGCCATGGCTTTCATGGCTATCATCGCCGCCGTTGTACTGCACTTCGTGTTGAAGAGAGAGAACAGGAAGCTGGAGTTGAAGGAGCAAGAAGCTGAGGCTGCTGGGCAAGTGATTGCTGTCGGCAAGGGATTTAGATATCTCATCTGAAGAGTCTGCTGGCAGTGCAAGTTATGGCGAAAGTTTCAATGTCCCAAATTATGTAGTGTTCCGTCTCTTGTACTCCCATATCTCAAATGATAATTCATACCGAATAGCAAGAGGTGAATCAAGACTCCGAAGTTCAAGCGAAAGATGGCACGGCGCTGCCGGAGCTGATCGCAGTGGTCATGATACCGAGATAGTCCATTAGGATCTCGCCATCTTTGTGCAGGTCTTGTTGCGCCCAGATGGATCTGACTGTGTTCTTAACCCCCTCGATACTACGTATACGCGTATCCCTCTGTGTCCTTTCGATAAGGTTGATAATGGCTAATCTCTGGTCGTCCCTGTGTGCTTCGCAAGCTAGGATGAGCAAGGGGAAGAAGTGCTCACAGGAGCATGACTGGATAGGTCCTGCAAATGCGGCATTGACCAGGGCGTCGAGGTTTTCCGCTGGCTCCCACGGGCTTTTCGAGAGTCGCGCAAGATATATCTGCGTTGCTATTTGGTAGAGGTGGACGGCGAACATGGAATCAGACGTGGGTTCGGCAGATGCTGACTCGATGGAGACATTTCCTACCCTGCTCTTCAGATCTTGCAGATGGTCTTGGTACTTCGTATTGCTGGTCCTGGGATCTCTTGAATCGAGAACTGTATCGCACACTTCAGAAAGCAGATTCAATATTGCGAATGTAGGATTGACGGCAGGGTGGGTCTAGGAAAGAGCACATCAGTGGAAGCAATTGACGCTGGTGATGGAGAGATTCCTTACAGGTCTATGTCTAGTCAAAGACAACTTTTGAGCAGCTTGGGACCTACGGGCACTTCTTGATGCCCCCTCTGGTGCCAGCGATTGATGTCGCCAATGGTTTATAGCGAAGCGTGAAAGTGTTTCGTGGTAGTGCACCCATTGAAGGAGGCGGCTTGTGTCGTTGTTTGATGGTTGATCCTTGAGCGGAGTTGCTTGAATCATATCTGTAGCCCCCCATACATGCAAAAGCCACTCACTCGTGCCCTCAATTGGCTGCAACGTCTAGACGTCAACGTTAGGAACCACGTTCTGCGACGCAATTTCAACAGACACTCACTTCAAAAGCCCCTAGAAGCATAGATGCGGCCACATCTTGCGCGGCTTTCTCCGGGGTCAGAATTTCGTCGTTGACCGAGGCCGACAGTGACTGGAGAGCGCGACCTTTAAGCTGGATAGTCTGCTCATTGAGACCATGGCGGTGAAGGGAGGAGAAGGCGAGCAGCGCATGGAAGAGGGCGATGCCGGAGACTTCATCGTGCACTAAAGCCATACTGAGGAGAACATCCCGTATCTCGGAAGGACGTTGGCCGAATGTGACCAGCGCAGCATGGGCAAATTTATGGACTTGGGATTATTAGAACACGCACATTGAAATTTTAGTAGGAAGGCTTACAGTGATAGACAAGGTCCATGTGATTGACGTGCCGTTGAGGCTGTATCCTCAGCTTTGGGGAAGATTCCAGGGTGCGGAAATGTGTTGATTCTCCAGACCTATAGCCGTATTCTTCCAGATCCTGCCAGAAGGTATTGAGGAATACAGCTTTGCTATACCTACGGCAGCTCGGGAAAACGACGACATCTTTGGTAGTTTTCACCGTTATTGCACGCTTTTTGTCATTCTCTCTAGGCCAGGAAAGCCGTATCTCATACCCATTGCATTCTCTTCTTGATCGCGCGCACTTTTGGCACTTTGGCCGGGTTCCATCACATTGGATCTTGCGGTCTAAGGTACGCGCAGCAATTAGTCGTCCTCCCCCACCTGCATCCGAAGTGTGTATCTGGCATCACCACTGACCTGCACAAGTCCAGCAACCTTTCCGGACCTTCATTCAATCGACGGATGGACCGGACGTAATAGGTCCGGACACGGCCAGTTCTGAAAGCCGACTTCTGGCAGCAACAACTGGGGATCAGACCATCGTAAGTCGAGAGACTCGGGGAAAGTTGCTTTCGATGGGGTTGCTGACGCTTTTATTGACTTCGCAATACAGCCACAAGTCTGACCATTTCATTTGTAAGCTCCCCTAAGCCTTTCGAGACGTCTTACTCTGGCATCTAGATCAAAGCCACGCGGGCAATGGTGGCTCAACCTCGCAGCGATTGGTCAGTGGGGCTAGAAAAGGATTCCAGTGCCCCACACTATGCAACTTTTGTCGACGCTAAGAGCTGCATGATTGTCTTTGACTTTGGGTAGTCTGATGTGCTCCCGCTATTCGGGCTTCAACATGCCCCGCAAGCTTCTGTTGTCAGACATGGAGGCTAGGTTACAACGGATCATAGGTGTACGACGACAATTCAGTGATTATCAATCCGAAGATGGCCTTCTCTTCAGAGAAACCTTTCGGGGAGATTTTGATATAAAGCGGCGTCTGTCCGACGAAGATGGATCATAGATCAAAGAAGTAGCACACAGCCTTCACAATCATCGTATTCAATTCAACCAACTTACCACTGCCATCATCCTCACATATATCCAACATGTCCACTTACCTCATCACCCAAGCAACCGGCCAGCAAAGCCGCTGGGTCATAACCCACCTCCTCACCGTAGGCGCCAAGATCCACGCCGTCGTCCGCGACCTCCAAAAGGTCCCAGCCGTCCTCCAAAACCCAAACATCACCCTCTTCCAAGGAGAGAGCAAGAACTTTGACGACATCTACCGCGCCGCCCAGGGCTGCCAGGGCGTGTTCCTGAACACCGTCCCCTTCCCAGGCCTGGAAGCTGTCCAGGCCAAGACCGTCGTCGACGCGTGCCGCAAAGCTGGCGTCGAGAGCATCGTCGCGGCCACAACGCACGGCACCGGGAACACGGCCATGTGGGACGACGAAGCGACCAAGAAGATCCAGCTGCATGATTACTTCGCGTCCAAGGCCGCCGTCGAGGACATTATCCGCGGCGGCGGGCTTGAAGCGTACACTATCCTCCGGCCGGCTGTCATCCACCACGATTTCTTCGTGCCGGGGACGTATGGGAACTTTCCGCGCCTGCCGACCCACGGTGTCCTGGACCATTTGCTTGATGATGGGGCGAGGGTGCCGTATACAGATGCTAACGACGTTGGAAGGTTTGCGGCGGCGGCTTTGCGGGATCCAGTCAAGTTTGGTGGCCAGGAGATTGATCTTGGGAACGAGGTCCTCACTATTGAGGAAGTGCGGGATATCTTGGTCAGAATCAGCGGACGAGAGGTGGGCGTGGTGAAGCGGACTCTTGAGGAGGTCGAGGCGATGGGCATCAGCGTCTTTGGCCAGAGGTTCCACCTCATGGCAAACATCAAGGATCTCAGCTGGACGACCGCGAAAGCGAGGAAGGTTGAAGGAAAGTTTGAGATGCCTCTGACTTCTGTTGAGGAGGCATTGCAAAGGGACAGGGCACTTCTCTTGGAGTGTCTACCGGTCAACTAGTTTCCTCATCACTTGGTGTCTTTTTTCACGCGATTAGGCTCTTATCTGTTTTGGGATGTTCTCTTAGATCTACTATATTTTAATCATAGGACAAACTGGAGACGCTCGTTTAAATGAGACATCGGCCCTTCTCTACCTTTGTTGAATGTATTTCTACTGTGATTCTTAGGATACTCAAAGTCCATATTCTCTAGCAATCTTCTCAGCAGCAATTTGTCCAATAACATACGCGACGATTTGAGGATCTGTTTGGAATTGTTAGCAGGTTCTGAAGCAGTGCATACACCGTCTCATAGAAGCGAATCCCAAATTTAAGACTCGACTTACGGCCACTATGAGTGATTCAGTTAGTAGTCTATCACGAGAGAAACTGCGGTTAATGAACATACGCACCTTGGAAGCATGGATGTAACACTCAGATCAGCAACTCTCAATCCGCTCAGCCCATGGACCTTCAGGTCTGCATCGACACAGCTGCCATCCTGCTCAGTCTTGCCCATCCTCACACTACATGAAGGGTGCCACAAGCCAGCGACGTTTTGCTCGATGAATTCCTAGAGGTTTTCAGCTGCCTTGCCGAGTCAAGTCTCCGTGCATCACAACTTACCACGATATCTTCGTCGCTGTCGGATTTGGGCGCAAAGATGGGCCTCACAAAATGCTCTTTCATCGTCGATGTTTGCATCAGCTTCAGCCCCTCCCTGAGCGCCTCTCGCAGGTTAACGACGTCGTATGGGTGGCTCAGGTACTTTGGGTTGACCAAAGGCGGGTCCTTCGGGTTGGTGGATTTGAGCTTGATCTGGCCGCGAGATTGGGAGTTCATGTTCGCCACGAAGATTGAGAAGAAGCCATCGTCTGCGCTCTCGAAGGCATGGTTTGGAGGGATCAGCGGGCCGATCTGGGAGGGGGCAGTTGTGTCAATCCGTCTTGTTAATCTTTGGTTTTGTTGTGGTGCAGACTTACCACCATCTCGTAGCTCGGAACACCTGTCTTCAGCAACAGATCTTTCGCATCTCTGGGGAGGGCTTCAAATTCCGCGGTCGCGTAGGCCCTATCGTTCTTCAGGAACGCGTGCGGAACGGACGAGAAGTGTCCCAAGAGGGGCCCGTTTCCGGTCTCGGTGAGCTGCTTGATGGCTTCTTGGTACTTGGCCGGATCAGCTAGGCCCATTCTGTCCGTGAACCCGGGCTTCATCTGGAAGCAGGTGACAATCATGGGATGGTCCGTGAACGACTTGCCAACCCCGTCCAGGTCTTTAACAACGCTGATTCCGAGTTTTTCCAGGTCTGCCTTGGGGCCGATACCCGAAAGGAGTAGCAGCCGGGGAGTGTCCAATGCGCCGGCTGCGAGGATGACTTCCTTCTTGGCCCGTACTAATTCACAATGTCGTCAGCCTGACATTTTCATAAGTTGTCAAGGCTACTTACTCTGCGACCCATCTTCCTTCACAACTCCAAGGGCCCGATCGTTTTCGAATAGGATCTTGACGATACGTCTCTCCGTCAGGATTTTCAAGTTGGGCGGGATGCCTTTCTCTAGGAATGCCGAGGCGCTGGTTGTGCGCACGCCGTTCAAACTGGTTGATGAGTTCAACGAGAAACCAATTGGATCTCCATCATTCGGATCCAAATTGCGTTTATGCTTTAATCCTGTCAGAAACAATAAGCGATCACTTTCGGTGGGCGACTTACCCCGAGATCAACCCCAGCGTCAATGAAGGACTTGGTCTCCCGCTCGATATGTCCAATGGAAACATCCACAGGTCTGTACCGAGGTTAGTAGAAAGCCATTCACAGTTGAGATGTTGGCGACAGACCCGGAATAGCCATGATACTTCGGATTCGGCTTGACATATCCATCCCACTCTTTCCCCAGCCCATCCGTGTGCAGGTTTTCCAACTAAATCCAAGTCAGCTCTCCCCCAACAATACCACGAATACATCTTCACAAACCTGCTTCACCCTCTCAACAACACTCTCAAACCCCCAAACCTCGTCCCCAGCCGCCTCCGCCCACGCGTCGAACTCCGCCCGCGCGCCGAGCGACCACACCTGGAAGTTGACCGCACTCGAGCCGCCCAGCCCCTTCCCGCGCGCCTGCGGCACCTCGCGGCCCCGCGCGTGCTCCTGCGGCGTCGAGACGTACCCGTAGTCCAGCCCCGGCTGCGCGACCGTGAAGTAGCGCTCGGCGGTGCGCCGGTACTCGGGCTTGTTGATGTCACCGCCGCCCTCGACCAGCGCAACGCTGGGGTGGGAGGGTGTCGCGGCGAGGCGGGCGGCGAGGAGGCAGCCGGCTGTGCCACCTGTTGGGTCGGAAGAGGTTAGCCGTAGACCGGGTATGGGAGGAGATATTGGGAGAAGCCCCTCATCTCATGTTGGCGAGGAGGGGTGAACAGACTTACCACCGACGATGACAAAGTCGAATTCTTGCGCCATGTTGATGCTTTCACGATGGGTGCTTTGGGTTTGAGCGGCAGGTGTAAGCATCAGATGAACAAATATTGCCTTAAATACCATCCTCGGCGCTTCTCCTCATTCTAAGGCTGAGAATTGCTTTTCTCCCTACAGAATGAACTATCGACATGTGTCTCTCGTATTGGGTGAACCAAATCCACATGGTCCGCTGCGGCTAAGGTTTTAGTATCACGGATCGGCGGTCAATTATTCGGCATTTCCAAAGTTCCAACAGACTTGGAGGTTAATGGCGGGCAGACTTAATATCCCCGGAAAAGCATGTTACCCCTCCGTAAAGTTCCCTGGCTTCTCCAACATTTTGGCAACTGTCACTACTGGACTATTGCCGAATACGTTTGGTTTCCCGATGTCGTGCGACGCTGACAATTGGGGTTTGACGATCCCGATGCAACCTGTGAGCTGGAGCTGGGGTTGTTGAGTTGGCGTGCAGAGGCGGATGCAGAAGCGGGTTGAGCTGAGGTGACGGACCCTGTGAAGGATGAGTCTTGTGGCATATAATTGATAGTTAGCTTGCTTTTATTGACTTGGGAGTCAAGACGGCGAGATGTCCGCGCCCATGGTGGGTGATCTTCTTCAAGGCAGTGGTTCAGCCTCTCACGATGCTGTTATCAATCCCACCCATAACCCTACAAATTATTGCTTCTTCCCTTCAATCGAACGAACAGCTGAAATGATCCATCAGATCTAGAGAAGTACTATGCTTGGCTGTATGTTGGGCATTAAACATAGCCGTCTATCCGGGGTTCGGCCGAGTGACCCAAAGACATCGTCTCATCTCATCAACCTCCACACCGCATCTCGTCTAACGCCGAAAGTCACACAACAAGGTGTTCAACCATCTACACCACGGGCCGAAGATAGGTATACCTCTCACCTATTAATCAACGCCTTCACCTTCTTCAACGCATCCTCCTTCACCACCTCCACGGGCGGCTGCACATCAACCCCGACAACATCCTCCTCGTCGTCCTGGGGCGGGTCTAGGCTTTGGAACTGGCTATGCACGAGGTTCGCGCCGGCAAAGTGCCCATGCCTGTTCTTGACCCTCTCGAACAGCACATCCTCGGGCGCGTGCAGCGTCACAAAGTTGACAAAGATGTCCTTCTCCGGGTGCGACGCGCCGCGCAGCTCGTCGCGGTAACCCCGCTTCAGCGCGGAGCAGGTCACCACGACGCCGCGCAGCCCGTCGGTCTCCAGCTCCTTGAGGGCCTCGTCGCGCAGCGTGTCGAGCCAGCCCCAGCGGTCCGAGTCGGTGAGCGGCTCGCCCCTGTGCATCTTTTCCACGTTTTCTTTCGGGTGGTACTGTAATCGTTTTCCGCGGGTGTCAGTGTGTTACCTAGGTATGTTTTCAGGAAGAATGGGGGCACGGACATCGTCGCCTTCGATGAAGGTCATGTCCAGGGCGTCGGTGATGTGCTTTGCTATCGTCGTCTTGCCGGTCCCCGTCGGTCCCGTCAGGAAGATGATGTGTTCTTTCGGGCGCGACATTTTTGTGCGGGCCTGATTCATTCAATATTCGCTTCAAATGGAAAGGCTTGGCGGATGTTCGTCAACGGGATGGCCGATTCAAAGCGGTCTCATCGGTGTTCTCGGACCGGAGATGTTCAGGCGAGATGGGGGAGGTTGCTTTAACGTTGTCCGCCAATGCGTTTGAACGAGGTGGCGCTCTCAATAAGGCAATAGTCGAGAAGCGAGGTGATGGACAACGGAAACGAGGGCACAGGCTGATGGTTCGCAGTGGCCAGGAACACGAACAGGAACAGGAGGCTCCTCCAGACTTTCCATTCCTTCCGGTTGGTCTGATGTTTGGCCGCCTATCGTGGTGTTCGTTCGTTCCCACCTGGGTTTTGCTTGCCGATGGCGTTCGGATGATGTCATGCGGCCCCGACTGTGGCAGGTCTGTCTGTTGAGGCGAACGCTGGTTCGTGTGGCTTGCGTGTGTGTGAGTGAGACAGGGAGCATGTTGCCCCTTTCGTACCCGCATGTCTCGTTCTGGATGGAGGAGAAGGGATCAGACAACTTCCGGAACAGCAGGAACTCTCAAATGAGGTTGTTTGCGATGCATGCACTGAAAAGCTTGCCAATGTTCAATGTTGCGAGAGTCAGGGATTTGGTCCAATCGATGGATACGAATATGCATGTCCGTTTTCCTCCCGTTTTCCGCCCGTGGGTAACGGCACGGGTAGCGGCATCCAAGGGAATTATCAGCACGACATTGTCGTCATTTGGCTGAATTTCGGCAGCAGAGAATGCCGCATCTGATGTCACCCGATGCGATCATTTGAACAACGGCATTTTGGCATCCGTCAGGCACAGCAAGTGACTGATCAAAAAGTTGCCTGCCTTCGATGGATGAAGTGTCTCTCGAGGGCTGGGCAAGGCAGGCTTTGGTTTTAGCACTACTCCCCGCTGTTTCTCTCAACAACCAATAGGCATCGGTCTATTAGTCTAGTTGGTTAGGACGTCGGATTCTGATTCACACCCAGATTTTCCGTAAGCCCAGGTTCGAATCCTGGATGGACCTTTCTTTTGTTTTTTTGACTAACCAGGAGAATCCGCTATTCATCAGGTGTAATTATCATGCGGATGCCTCCTGCTTTTTGAAGTTTCGAATCTGCACCCAAGTCCGGAGTCCTGGGCCGTTCTGACGTTGTTCTTTTGGCATCTGCGGCCCGAGATATATGTAGCAGGAAGGACCGCCCACGATGCACGCTGTACGGCAGAAGCATGTCAGCCACAGTGCTCCTTCTTAGTTGGCTGGTTAGGTACATGCGGCAAGCACGCACTGAGGAGGTCTTTCCCCCTGATCGAAACAGCGCTGCTGCCCATTCTTCATCCCCGAACATCAAACCACACACATCAATCATCTCATCCAACCTGTCGTCGTCGTTCTGTCACTTTTTTCTCTGCTACCTCGCAGATGGCTCCCTCGTATTGGCCGGATATCTCGCTATTTTCTCACTTCAACACAATGGCCATTCTTTCTATCCGTACCGCACGTCGCCAGCACCCTCTCGGAACCAGTCATCCGTCGCCAACGCCTCTTCGGAGCTCGCAAAGCTGATGATGGTGCTCTTGGTCGTCGTGTATGCCTGGTACGCATCGATGCCGTTCTCGCTGCCAACGCCGCTCGCGCTCTTCGCGCCACCCCACGGACTGCTAGGATCGTTTCGATGGTGCGTGTTCACCCACACGATGCCCGCGTCAATCTGCTCCGACACTCGAAACGCCTGCGCCACGTCCCGCGTCCAGATGCCCGCTCCTAGTCCGAATTCGCTGTCGTTTGCCAGCGCGATGGCCTCCTCCTCCGTCTTGAATGCCGCCACCACAATCACCGGCCCAAACGCCTCCTCCCGCCAGATGCGCGTCCTGAGGATGTCGCCCCCGGACTTGGACACCAGCACCGTCGGCTCGTAAAAGTACCCCTTTGAGAAATCAGTCCCGTCGAGTCCGCTCGTGCCAGACATGCGACGACCCCCAACCAACGCGTCGCCCTCCGTCGCAAGCGCATCGTCCACAAGCGCCTCCACGTTCTTCAGCTGCTTCGCCGAGATGAGCGGTCCCATCATGGATTCTGGGTTGCTCGGGGATCCCATGCGTCGCGTGATGGACTCCGTCTTCGTTTTGAGCTTCGAGACCAGCGTCTGCAGGGTCTTCTCCTCCACGAGGATTCTCGTGCTTGCGACGCACGTCTGTCCGCTGGCGATGAACGATCCAAAGGCGATGCCGTTGACTGCGACGTCGATGTCGGCTTGCTCAAACACAACCAACGGCGCCTTTCCTCCCAACTCTGCCGTGTACCGCGCCAGATTGCCGCCCACGATTGACCCGATGGCTCTGCCTGCCACCGTCCCGCCTGTGACGTCCACCTTGCGGACGAGGGGATGCTCAACGAGCGCCTTGCCCGTCGTTGCGCCGTAGCCGGGCAGCACGCTGAACGCACCTTCAGGCACGCCCGCCTGCTTCAGGATCTTGCCAAGCAGCAGCGTGGTGAGAGGCGTCAATTCGCTGGGCTTCACAATGACACTGTTTCCCGCGGCAAGTGCCGGCGCGATTTTCTTGACAGCGATGAGCAGCGGGTGGTTGAAGGGGGTGATCTGCACAACGACGCCAAGGGGCACGCGATCAATCCAGTTGTGCAGCTTTCCTACGGTCGGGAGCACCGCACGCTCTTCGGTGCGCAGCAGCGCAGCATAATACTTGAACCACTTGACGAGCGTGGGCACCTGCGCGCGCATCTCGCGTATCGCGCGTCCGGTCTGTTGCACTTCGAGGGGGATCAGCGAAGGGAGTTCCGCCGTGAGGAGCTCCGCCGTCTTGTCGAGGACCTCGGCCCGGACGTGGCGGGGGGCCTTGGACCAGGTCCCGGCCTTGAACGTGTTGTGCGCGACGCGAATGGCCTCGTCGACATCTTCAGCGGATGCGGCGTGACAGCTGCGAGTCGTCGGATGGTTAGAAACAAGGACAAGAAGTGCTCAGTAAGCTTGACAGTTGTGACGGGCATGACAGCACGGAGAAGGATTGGGGCAGAGGGGACTGAGTGCACTCCAGTGACCCAACAGATGCAAGCCTTACCTTGCAAAAATTTCGCCCGTCGCAGGGTCTTCGACTGGTATCCTGTTGGCACCGTGTCAGCCGCGAGCCATTGAGCTTGAGCCACGAGCATGAAGCACGAGCACAGATGGCCATGCAGATATTATGCGCGCGCGGGGTCAACTCGCAGAAGAGAAGAAAGGGACGTCACGAACTGCTCTGCATGGCCCGGCTTCTCCTGGCCTCCCACCCAGAGGTTGAACGCCTGGGCTGTCATCCTGTCTTCTCAGCTGTCCTGTCAGTCTCGAAGGTTTTTTTCGTCCGTGGAGTCCTGTCCAACGAAAGAAGAGAATGTTTCTTCGAGACCGCTTTGCTTTAATCGGGGAGGTGAGAGTTCAAAAGGACCCATTATCTCTTCATGCGGGGCT